CTATGCTTGGTTCTAGCAAGTACTGCCTTTTCTCTTGTGTTCTTTCCTTGACCTATCCATGCACTTTTCATTTTTAGTTTTTAAGTACCGTTATCTATCAAAAACTATTACTGCAGATGGAAGAATACTAGCATGCCTATTGCTGGGAATGCCAGGATGGCAGCCTGCTGATATCTTCCTTTCCATGAAGGCTCTGCGGCTGCTGAAGAGGGCTGTGTCACCACAGTGAAGGAACTGCTATCCTATTAAATCATCAAAGGAAAACAGGCTAATGGTCTAGGTTGAGCAGAGCTTCAGTCTTATACAGGGCCCACTGTCAGCATACATCAGTCTCACCTACCAACTGTGCTTCAGCCAGTCCTTCTGCTCAAATCTCAGGTGCCTTCAGAATAAGACATGGTGTCTTAGGCCAGTTGGACTATTAGATCCTTTCTTTACTGATCACCGTGGACAAAAGATCCCTTATGACCAAGATCCAATCAACCTTAGTGTCTGTGAAGACCATCAGGAAGGACTGGCAAGAGCATCTAAGAAACAGGACCTTGGTCACAGAACAGTCACGAGAACTTAGTCAATAACCAGTCACGGAACTCTGTAACAACCTAGGTGCCTGAGTTTCTGCCAACAAAACAGAAAACTGAAGAAGAAAATACTTTAGCTCACTGTGTCTGGTCGAGAGCAATGTAGATTATAAGAACAAAAACCCTGATTTCTGCCCTTAGCTTCACAGTATAACTTTGGTCAATTTGCATAAGTCTTGAAAGTTCCATTCTCCCAACCGGATGAAATAACATTTGTGAAAGGCAGGCTAAAAATTGACAAGCACGCTGCACGTGTGAGGAGTTATTTTAACTAAATAGGGAAAATTCAACCTGTGCTCTCATTCCTTCTCAAGGTACAGAGCCATGGGGCGGGAGTGATGCTGGGAAAAGTCCTTGGCCTTCAGGGTCCACTTCTCCCTCTGCAGCTCTCCTACCTGGGAGCTGGATAATTCAACAGGGGAATGAAACCTCAATGAAGGGAATCATACGGTGAACCCAAGCAGTGAACATGGGCCTACATAATCCAAGCAACAACCTAGCCACAAATTTAATAAGGGAAAAAAACCAACATCCAACACAAAAACAAAGGACTCTCCACTTTACAAACACTGGGAAGGCAACAGCTGGTGAGCCGAGATTAAAGGAGCGTGAGAGAGCACCTCCCCTCTCCTGGCTTCTCCTCCCCTCCAGAGGTCCCTGGCCAGCCAGGGCTGGAGTTTACAGCCCTGTGCAGATGACCTTGTTCCAGCTAAGATAGGGGTTCTTTTGATCTCAGCAGGGGGATGCTCTGGGCCTGCGGCTGGCAGATATTAATAGTATAGGATCCGCTGGGGTAGAAGAGATCTCTCAGTTGGGCCAGGTCACTTGTATTCCCTGCTCTGTGTCAGAGCAGAAGGGACTTCATTTTCCCAAATCAGCCCCTGCTGGGCACTTCTCTCAGGTCAGCTAGGATCATTTTATTCCCGGCTGCTCTGAGGCCGCTTGTTCTCACCCCACGGCTGTTTTGAAGGGAGCGCTGTTTAAGCGGTGCCTCTGTGCTTGCAGGACGGGGGACCTCGAGCTCACTCGTCTGGGCGCGCTTCTCACTCGCACTGGTTTGCATGCACTCTTGTGCACACGTTGGTGTGGAAGAAAGGCAGAGAGAGCAAGAGACAGGTAAGACCAGAGTGTTTACAGAGAGAGATATATGAGAGAGGAGACTATTATAGGTATGACAAAAGTATCAATGCTAAGATTTCTGAAGATCCTTTCTAGTATTTTAGCAATCTTCAGCAATCTTATACTCTTCCAATCTGTCATTTGACACAGAAAAACTGAGGCCAAAGTGATTAAAAGACCTGTTCAAGACCATGGAGCTAATGAAACAACGGCAAAGCTGATGCCACGAATGCCTGAAACAACAAAGCCACTTATCCATGTTAATCACAGTAACATTAACAAACATTGCAATATATTTGAATAGATATAAATATTCTAAGAAACTTGTCCATTTTAATTCACTGGTAAGGAACTTCATTATAGGCTTCAGGAAAAATATTTCTATAGCTTCTTCACCTGCTCAGCTATGCAAGGAAAAGTCCTAAAAATATATTGTTTCCATTTTCCCTTGGATTGCATAATAAGAAAAAGTTGTCTAAGGATGAGCTGGAACCCTTCCTTTGCCACCAACACCACGTTACCATTTTCTTGAAGCGGTTGCACTAGAGACCCAGAGCAATTTCCTTTGCTTAAGATAAACCAGGAAGCCAAGACAAAACAAAGCATCTTACTTACTGGTTTTCAAATAAGGAAACAAGATACTCTCTTCTCCTCAGAGCTGAATAAATGTGTGTGGTGTGTGAAATAATTATAACCATTTTTCATGAAGTTCATAGGTGCCTTATGTGATTCTCATGGTTACTGTTCTTACCAAGTATAACTACGGTATTCATTCAGCATTTACTTACAGCCTGTATGTGCCTAGAACTTTGCTAGTCACTCAGGGACAACATGGACGCAAAAAGAATACAAGACAGTCTGTGTCCTTAAAACATCTGCCAATCTAGTCGGGACACCATGTAAAGTGAAGTTAATTTTTCTAGACCTTTTCTTTATATAGCAGAGCAGGTAGAGGGACCACAAAGGAGGAACAGAGAATGAGGCCGACACGCCCTGGGACAGGCAAGGAAGAGGTGGTCTTTAAATAAACCTCGAAGGAGTGGGAGGGTTTGGGAAGAAAAGAAGAGGTAGAAGTGGAAAAGGGAAATGCTATTCAAGATCGGAGGGGGGGGGGTGTCCCTGTAGAGACACGGGGC